TAATCCATATAACCATATCCATGTTCATATATCCATATTCATGTGTCCGTATTCATACATTCATATATCCATATCCATGCAACCAAATCCATACATACATATCCACACATTCATATCCATACATCTATAACTCTTTATCCTTATCCATATCCATATGTACACATCAATACATCTATTTCCATTTATCCATTTATCCATATCCATTTATCCATATCCATTTATCCATATCCATTTATCCATATCCATTTACCCTTTTCCGTATTCATTTATTCATATCCATACATCTACATTCATTTATTCTTATTTATATCCATATAAACATATCCATACATCTATATTCATTTATCCTTATCCATATTGTTATATACAAATACATACATCAATATAGTTCATACATCGTATTTTCGATATTATTTATTAGTTAAATTGAAAAAGATGTAGGGTTTTAGAAAGGGTTTCATTTTTTTGGGATTTAATGTGTAAATTTTATTATTAATTTTTTTTTAATTATGGAGTTAATATGAAAACGTCTGAATTTGGTATGACATTTTTAATCTGAACTGGAATTTACATAGTAAACTAATCTAAAGGTTCAATTGACAATTGAAACTGTGCTTATTTGTAAATGAAAGTTAAGGGTTTCTCATTTATTCTGGGAAACCTTTATATTATACTTCATTTATAATTTTTTTAACCTCCAAAAAGATTCTATTTTCAAACTTGAAAACTGAATTTTGTTTCATGTTTATACTTTTAAAAAAATAAAGTCTGCATTTCAATACCCTCTCCAAAAAAGAAATGAAAGTTTTCGCCCAATTCAGGAAAATTAAATATTTTCTATCTCGGGTAAAATTTTCTTTCGTAATTATGTAATCTTTTTTAAGCTTAGATCACTTTCATCTTCTTTATGATTTGCCAACTCTCACTTTCAACATATTTTCATCATTTTTCGTAATTTACTCACTTTAAGCAATGCGTAAGTATAGAAAAAAATACTTATTTATTTTTCCTGCTCGTTCAAAAAATAATTATTTTTAAATACTATTATTTTGACTCCTGAAATTAGTAAAGATTAGCTAACAGCAATTTAAATATAACTATTTAATAGGAATCTTTTAGCGTGAGTTACATGTGGTAAGAGAAAACAACATTTCGTTTACTTATAAAAACAATTCTTCACGGGAATAGTATTTCAGAAAAATATTAAAATCAAATATAGTGCTAATAAAGATGAAGAAATCAAATTTAAAATAAATGAATAATTTTATTTTTTAGATAATTGTATTGGTTTATAGGCTTTTTATGAATGTTTATTTTTAAAAATACACTTTAATAACTTTGAATGGAAATATGAAAATAATATTTTTTGATAGACAAAATAGGAATTATATTTAATTGGAAGATAGAAATGACATGAAAAAGTCTATTGGGATATTATCTATAAAAATAAGCGTTGCTATATAACTGAATAGATAGCGTTGATAATATAAACAATATTGGCTTACATTAATAAAAATTGTACTGAATTTTTTTTATTACTGTGATACACTGTAGGGTTCGTAGTAGTTATGAAATTCCCGATGTTTACTGATTAAAAAATATATTTCATTCACATTTCTTCTGATTTTTTAAATTTCCGTAAAGTTATTCTTGAGAGTTTAGAACATATTATTTTCTATTAATGTAAATGTGGATTCTAAAGAAATCGATTCGACGAATCGAAAAATTTGGATTTTTGATCTAGTATCTTTAAATTTAATTACGCTAATAAAAATCGTAAATTTTGATAGTTCAAAGTTCTTAGGGATATAGTTCAAGGATATAACATTGACTGGTAGGATTCAAAATTTGAAAATTTTTAAACTTCAGTCAATATATGTAAAAGAAATTCAATAAAAAATTTAAATCGCCAAATTCTTAATAATTCATATAAATATTAATTATTTTCAGAAAAATCAATTATAAATCTTGTAGGATGGAGTTTTGTAGTTTCACATTTATCGATTCGGCTCTTTCATCAGTATTTACTCTCCATGTTTTCGTTTCCTAACCCTAATTAAAAATTATTTGATTAAGGAAATCTTGGACTCGATTGAAAATTTTAATTAAATATTAGTACAAGGAATATATTTCTTCATGCAAAGGTACTATTTATTACTCCATTTCAATCTATCTCAAACTATTATGAGCTGTTCAGTGCTCCCTCAATAAAATTATTCTGGAAACTGATAAAATTGTATTCTGGAACTGTTCTAAGCAAAGTAATTATGAAATTAAAATTAGTATATTTTACAATTCTTTTACAATAACATATGCCTTTATTTTACTATAAGGCAAATTAGGCTTAGTTAGTTTGTCATCAGTCCTTTCTGAAAGTAGTCTGATTCTGTAAACAATTTTTATAAATAGCCTGATTTTTTAAAACTGAACTGATGAGACAAACAAATGAACTTTTAGGGCAAAAAATTTGAAGTTTATCGTGAAATTTTTGATACAAATGCTGCACAATATAAAAGTAGTACAAATGAGGTCGATACAAATGTGGTACTATATAAATGTAGTACAAATGTGGTCGATGCAAATAAAATACAAATGTGGTACAATATAAATGTAGTACAAATGGGGTCGACACAAATGTGGTACAATGTAAATGTAATACAAATGTGGTCGACACAAATGTAATACAAATGAGGTACAATATAAATGTAGTACAAATGTGGTCGACGCAAATAAAATACAAATGTGGTACAATATAAATGTAGTACAAATGGGGTCGACACAAATGTAATACAAATGTGGTACAATATAAATGTAGTACAAATGTGGTCGACGCAAATGTAATACAAATGTGGTACAATATAAATGTAGTACAAATGGTGTCGACACAAATGTATTACAAATGTGGTACAATATAAATGTAGTACAAATGTGGTCCACGCAAATGTAATGCAAATGTGGTTCAATATAAATGTAATGCAAATGTGGTCGACACAAATGTACTACAAATGCGGTACAATATAAATGTAGTACAAATGTGGTCGACGCAAATGTAATACAAATGTGGTACAATATGAATGTAGTACAAATGTAGTCGACACAAATGTAATACAAATGTGGTACAATATAAATGCAGTAGAAATGTGGTCGACACAAATGTAATACAAGTGTGGTACAATATAAATGTAATACAAATGTGGTCGACCCAAATGTAATATAAATGTGGTACAATATAAATATAGTGCAAATGTGGTCGACACAACTGTAATACAAATGTGGTACAACATAAATGTAGTACAAATGTGATCGACTCAAATGTAATACAAATGTGGTACAATATAAATGTAGTACAAATGTGGTCGATACAAATGTAATACAAATGTGGTCGTTGGCGGATAAAGGTTAAGGGCTGTTACATTAGTTATAATTAATTAATTTATGAAGTAATTGTTTAATTTTTATTCATGAACAGTATAAACTGTTGTAATATCTGATGCAAAAAATCGACTTCCATATACAGTGTTAATAGTGCAATTTAAATGTAAACACTTATAATATAAAAAGCTTACACCAAACTCTCGGTCACTCACTCTAAATACGAATACATTTTACTTCCAAAAAGGGTGATTTTGGAGAGCTTTGAGTCACGCATGTAGATTTTGATTTAGTTTTATAACCGTCGTGAAAACAGCCTACCTAATTTAGGTTTTACGGCTACTATTGTTCAACTCCGTAGCCTTGTAACTTAGAACCTAATCCAGAAGACAAGAGAACTCCTGGCCCGAGTATTAGAGAGAAATTTAACTTCACGGAATACTTTTTGGTGCAACTCACCCACATTTGCGGTACATGGTGAGCAAAACCACGAAAACCATCGACGGTTAGCTTGACGGCAATGGGACTGTAATCCATGATCCGTCTAGCACTGAGGATATTTTTATGTCAGCACTGTGGTCGGTGCGAGCCGAGTGCGGAATTCAAATCAACCAGCTATCACTGGACTCGAACCAGGATCACCTCATTGAGAGGTGACCGTTCTATCTCCTGAGCCACCGCGACTCCAAATTCTTTAGATTATTTACATTTGAATAGAAACTGGTGTGAGTTAATGGAAGTAATCGACGCTGGTATATATCAACCAAAACGAACAGAAGATAGAGCACCCAATAAGGTGATACGGATTCGAATCCCAGCGATGACTGATCGATACGAATTCCGCACCAGACTCGCACCATCCACAGTACGGACGTAAAATATCCTCAGTGTTAGACGGATCATGGATTAGAGTCCCCATGACGTCAGGGTAACCGTGGGGGTCTCTTAATTGTTTTATTCTCTAAGTAACGCACATGCAGGTTAGTTCCATCAAAAAAGTTCACCACGACGGCAATACTTGATCCAGGAATTCCCTTGTCTTCTTGAACGGGTTGGAAATTATTAGGCTACGGAGATGAGTTCGTCTTAATATTCTCTCTGTGCTACCTGTATGTGTGATTTACAAGTTAATTAGTGATTCTTATACTTTATATTGTAAGGTAGAAGTAACTTTGCTGACTTTATTACTGGGGTATATCTTTTCCTATTGTCAGTACAAATTTTAGTGCTACTAAATATATAAAAAAGAATAGTATCGTCTAGTTTACTAAAAGTAGTGTAAAGAAACATTATTGGTGTAGGAAAACACTTAAAAGTGTAAAGTAGTTTGCCCCATTTTTGTTGTTAAGATACATGAATATTTTTTATAATGTATTATATGCCCTCTTTAATATTGTTCCTCTATTATACGTTACTTTTAATTGGCATATAGGTTTTAAAAAAATCACAACCTGTTTTCTTCAAGATATAAAAAAAACTCATTATATTATTAATGCGTTATAGAGTCTGATAAAAAAAATTATTTAGATTTTCAGAAGTGAATAATATTCATTTTATAATTTAGTGATAGTCACAGAAAAATCAGCAGCAATCGAATAAGCTTTAATACTTTTATTTGTTTATTATTTAGAATGCGATGCCAGGGCGCCACCTTCTGTACACCCCTCCTATGGGCCCATACGATGAAGATCCGGGCATCATGTCGGAAGTGGAGACATCGGCGACGGGCTATAGAACCATTAGAGCTCCAAAAGCTCCTCGTATAGCTTCTTTCCCCCCACCTGTAGGACGTGGAGGCAAACCTCCACCTCACCTGCCTGATAGACATCTTATGGGTAAGAAATTAATTAATTCTTATTATTTTTAGATTTTAAGATTAAAAAAATAGAAAGTTTTTTTTTTCATTGACTTTTATAAGGTTGTCACTGGACCTATAGATTTAAAATGATACAATCAAATTTACGTTGTAGGAATACTATATCATTTAGTTTTCTGAAAGCGAACATACCGCTTGAAGGGTTAGATTTGCAATACTCAGCCACCCAAACCCCGAAGTCCAGGACTATGCCATCACCTCCTACATCAAAAAGCCTTCACACAGTCTTTTATAAGTAGTCCGCGCAGACTATTTAAAAAGTGAACCAGTTGTGCGCATGAACCCAAAACCTTTTATAAAAGTAATTGAGAGAAATTTATCATATATATTTGAGAATTGAATCTGTAATGGTTGACAAGTGAATAAGGCAAACCAATAATATTCATAAATAAAGCAAATTTTTAGTCATATATTTGCTACCACTTTCTTATTTTAAGTAGATTTTGTATTAAATGACTCGATCGGAAAGTGGAAATCCTTCATAGTGGTCTGATCGGACTACCTATAAAAAACCGTGTGGAGGCTTTCAGTTATCGAAGGCGGTGACTATGCCCCAGTAATAATTATGCTTAGTGTTTAAATAAGTAAGGGAAAGTAAGAACGAAATTCTTCGTTTAGTTGTCAAATATGAGTTAAATATTGAAAAGTGACATTTTTTACTGTTTGCACAAAATGCGACTTTTGACCTATATATTTTTATTATTTTTTGACCTATATTATTTTACCTATATATTTTGACCAAATTTTTGGTATTACTATATTTCTTAAATACGCATTTTTAGTCACGTTTATTTTCTTAAATATTAATTTTGAGCTTTGTCAATTTTCTTAAATACTCCTTTTGAACTGTGTTTATTTTCTTAGATACACATTTTGAACTATGTTCATTTTTTTAAATACGCATTTTGAGCTGTGTCCATTTTCTTAGATAAGCATTTTGAACTATGTTCATTTTCTTAGATACACATTTTGAACTATGTTTATTTTCTTAGATAAGCATTTTGAACTATGTCCATTTTCTTAGATACACATTTTGAACTGTGTCCATTTTCTTAGATAAGCATTTTGAGCTGTGTTCATTTTCTTAGATAAGCATTTTGAACTATGTTTTTTTCTTAGATACGCATTTTGAATTGTGTCTATTTTCTTTAATATGCATTTTTAGCTGCTGATGTTTTTTTTCCAACCCCAAAATCTTTTGCTCAGATTTTTTTAACTAAAATTAAAACTATTTGGCATATATAGTATATCCAGTACATGTTGCACAACATTTATGATGGTTACGGCTTCTCAATCAAATTAATTTCACTTATCCCATATCATTTAATAATCTCTTCGTATTTATTAACTTTGACATTTTTCATTTGAACGAATTTTTTGAAGCATAAGCGTTTAACAAATAACAAATAACATTATGAAATCACAAATTAAAATGACAAGTTATTTGAAATATTTTTATTTATAAATATTAGCATTATTTAAGTTATCTTTATTTAAGTTATTCTTTTTCATATTTTTTATCAAAAAAATGGGTTAACTTTTCAGTAAATTATTTATTTTTATCTGATACATAAAGCGAAAGAATTGTGAGCTTTATATAAGATTTTATTCACATCTGACAAAAACAGATATTAAAAGCATTTTATACCGTTTTCTAAAGCTTAAATTTCAGCTGAGGAAATTTGTGTGAAAATGTTTATATGATGTACATAATTCATTTTGAGTTACAAAGAACGAAACTTACTTGTGATGTGATACAAAAAAGCAAATAGAAAGCAAAGGACTGCAAGATCGCAAATGACTAGATACTAAATAAATATTACAGTATCATTAATTTTTCGGAAATCTTAATTTTGACTCTCTAATGAAAATTAAGATATGGAACTTCCTTTTGAATTGACTGTTCAAAAGCAGGGATGAAGAAATATAAAATAATGTAAAAATATTTATTAATTGCTATTTAAGTTATTAAATTTGCATCTTGCGATTGAATTTTTGGATGTGTTATTGAATCTTCCGTACTTTATTTTCAGGTCCAGTCTCGCCGCAGCTTAGGCACGAAAATTTAACTTTAGGTAAGTCATGACTGTTTGTAAATAATTCAATTAAAGTTTTATGATTAATTTTAAACAATGGCAAATTTTAGACACTTAAGCAAATTTATCTATCAAATATGGTCATTCTAGTTTACTCATATATGTTTACACTGAAAAAAGCATGGTCAAAACTACCAGAATTTGATAAAACTTACAGTATTTCTGACTCTATGGGAGGACCAAAAATCACGGTAACTTTTTACGAAACGCTATGATGGTTTAAATGGGTTTTATTAACCAGACTTCTGGGACTTATTGAACTCGATACGTCATTATTATACAATACGGTATTTTCGACAGATTTTTTTTTCTCTATATAAATTTTTTTTAATTTTTCTCCGAAAAAAAATAGATTTATATTACGTAATAGACAGCAACTGATAGTTATCGGTTGCTATCAAGCATTATTACTGTTATTGCGTAAACACTTTGGATTCATTTTAGAAAAAAATGAAGAAAAAAAAATGGAAGCAAAAAAAAGTTATCTGATATGATGGAATTTTTGCCAAGTTTCGTTTGAGAGTTTTACTGTTGGATTGTGAGACTGCACACGTTTCTTGTGCGATTGTATGTACGATGGTTGCTGAATTTACATAGAAAAAAAAGAGTAAAAAAAAGGCGCATCACTTCACTGGTTTCTGGAAAGTATCAATTTGTGTTGTCCCATGTTTTAGAAACTATCATACAAAGACTATTTAACTTTTTTTCATTCGCCCTAGATATTAAATGTTTTTTACGCATAAAAAAATTCGAATTTCAACTTGCGTATTATCTTTTGTTTTAGTTTCTTGTATTTCTTAATAAAATGAAGAAGTATGCTGATTTCTTTTGCATTTTTTTTTCTTTAAAAAAATTGGTAAAAAAAACGGTTAAATAAATCTAAGAAGGGGAAACAAGAAAAAAAAGAGGCTCCCACAGCAAGGAACTTTGGCGCCTAATGGCTTAAAGAGTACAATTTATATGTCACACATTTTGAATTCATATTATAAAAAAAAACAATTTATTATACATTTTTGAACACTTATGATTGTTTTTTTACAGGTTTAGTGTTCCTTCAGTATCGCAGCGAAACAAAACGTGCCCTCCTGCCGAACGAGATCACCACATTAGATACAGTAAAAGCCTTGTTTGTGCGTTCCTTTCCTAAGCAGTTAACCATGGAGTACCTGGACTCCCCCCATATACGCATATACATCCATGACCCCGCAAAAGACATGTTCTACGAGCTAGAAGATTTAGGGTAAGTCTTGAAACCTCTTTTACCAACATCATAACCTCTTTTACCTACCTCGTAAATTACTTTTCTTGAAAATGCTTTTGCATCATGTTTAATTTTTTTGCAATGATTTGATTCTGATCAGAAATAAAAAGGTATTTTATTTTATTTTATTTTATTTTATAACTGTTGTTGAATAGCCGACACTATTTTCGGATTTCCAACTACTAGTTTTCAACTCCGTAGTCTTATAGTTTTGAGCACAATTCAGAAGACAAGGGAACTCCTGAATCAACAAAGAGGAGAAATTTGTCTTCGTGTAGGACTTTTTGAGGAAACTAACCCATATTTACGTTACCTGTAAAGGAAGACCACGAAAGCCTCACACGGTTAGCCTGGCCGCAAGGGGACTCTAACCCATGATCCGTCTACCACTGAAGATACCTTACATGAGCACTGTGGTCGCTGCGAGTGGGTTGTGGATTTCGTATCGACCAGCCATCGCTAAGATTCGAACCCTGTTCACCTCATTGGGATGAGAACACTCTATCCCCTGAGCCACCACAACTCATATAAAATGGTATTATGTTAGTTAGGTTACTTCCGTTTTTTCACCAAAGCATAAATGTTTTGAAATAAATTAATATTATATGATGGAGAAATGTTGTAAAAAATTCTAGATCAAATAACGGTATAAAGTACCGGCTTTTTGGAGACATAATCCATACCTGATAAGTGCATTAGAAGTTTCCAGAATTACCACTAGATGGCAGCATAATAAAGAGAAACATCTTCTTAACTACATGGAAATGGGGGTCTATTACTTTTTTACCCAAAGAGTTTTTAAAAAATGTTCTCTTGAAGCATTAAAATTACTTTTTTAAGTCTGTATTTTATATGCTGTCTTTCTATCATTTCAAAAAGTAGGTAAAAGGTGTTGTGGGCATTAAAAAGCTGATCGCATAAAGCAACAGCTAGCACTTCGAATTTTATTGAAATGCTTTATAACGCAGACTGATATGTTTTAATATTTAACACAATTAGTTTTGTACTACAAATTATCGAAATTATCTTTATAAACTTTTGCCGCTCATAAAAATTTTTATTAATTTTTTCAAAGCATTGTTTAATGTTAATAACTATTTGTATTTAAGTTAATCTGAGGTAAAATTAATCATTTAAAAATATTTATTTGAAATTTTATAAACATATGGTGTATTTTATATTTAAGGGATATACGGGATCGATCAGTACTTCGAATCTATGAACAGGAACCTAATGGAGAAGTGTACAGTACCTGGGAAGGTGAGCTGAGCTACTTCTCCGAGCCCGAGTTCGATTCCGAGTATCAGAATCAGCACATACATAGAGCGAAGGTACATTTTTCTCTATCTGTCTCTTTATTTTAAAGTATAAAAATTATTGTCCCCTATTGTTGGGGTTTATGAATTATTGTTTCTTAAATTTGAAATATGGAATTTATTATTTTTTTTAAATTTAAATATATATGAATTGATGTTTCTGATGGTCAAATATACACAAAGAAAAAAATTCTGGTAAAATTGCTGAACTGTAAGGTAAAGATACTTCTGGTAAGACAAACCATAATTCTAGTAAGAAAACCGAAATATTCTTTATTTAACCATTAATTAATTTAACCATTATTATATGAAAGGTGTTTAAACCATTCATATGGTAACGGTTTCCGTTCATAAGGTAACGGTTAGACGAAATTCTGGTATTTAAATTCCTAGTTATTTCCACACATTTAGTAAGAAATAAAAAACTGAAAAATAAATTTAACCGAATGAATTTTAAGCATGAGTGTAAAAAAATTGTTTTATAGTTGCCACCAATTTAAATTTTTTGGTTTTTTTGCCACCAATTTAATTTGTTTTTTGTTTTTTACCACCAATTTAAATAAAATAATTTGTTCAATTTCTAATGTTGAGGCAAACTAAGTACATTTGAATAAGTACTAAGTACATCCTAACAAGTACATTCTAAGTAAATCCTAAGTACAAACTAAGTACTAAGTACATCTGTAGTTATCGTGCAAAAGATTATTTAAGATTGACGAAATAACAATTGTTTGAACGATTTAATACAAATACATTATTAAAAATATGCTTTTTTCTTAAACAAAATGTTTTTTAATAAAGTCATAAATTAGTTCTAATGTGCATTAAAAATGTGAATTGTCAGTAGATCCAGAAAAAAAAAGCAAAGAAATTGAGAAATAAACCCATAACAGTGAAAAAGTAATAAATATGAGTACACGTACTGTAAGAAATTTCACTTTACCTAAAACTGATTCAAACTGTTTTAAATCATGGCATAATAATTTGAAGGCTAAATTTAGTGTCATATAATTATATAAATAATAATCTTTATTTACTATATTAATTATGTACATGCTTATTTTTAATACTAAATAATCTTTATATTACTATTATATAACCTTTTTTTTTCTTTTTTTACAGATTATATACATATTTTTTTTTAAATGAAACGAATAGAACTCAACTTATTTCGTTAATATTTATCATCAGTTTCTTTTATGTCTACAAAATATATTTCTCAAATTATAAAAACTAAATTTAACAAGTTGTTAAAAAGAAGTGATGTTAGTATTTTTTACAATTTAATATTAGGTAGAAACAACAACGGGAATTATTAAAATGCTTGATGTTTCTCTAAACTTTTAGTGATATATATTTTACATCTAGCAAATATTTTACTAAAATTTAAAATAAAGAAGCTAATTTAGGCATGTTTTCTTACAGAAAATATTAATTTGAGTTTTTATGTGCCTTAACATTAAAAAAAACTTAAATATCAAAATGTTGTAAGTCTGATTAAACTGTGAGTCATATGTATTTTACTTCTATCATATGTTTTAAGTATATTATGAAAGCTAATTTTGAGATATCTATTTAGTAAATATTAATATTGAGTTTTTGTTTGCCTTAATGAAAGAAAATACAACAGCCGTAATTTTATGCTTCATACATTTCACATCTATAAATTATTTTGTTTAAATTGTAAAAACTAATTTTTTTTTTAATACGAAATTGAAAAGTAGAATTTTTCAAGTCGTAATTAAAGAAAAAAAAGCAACCTTAAGTGCCAAAATGCTGTATTGTCTCTTTTAACTTTCAGTCATTTACATGTTTACCTCTTCAAATTCAATCGGAATATAGCGTGCAACGGATACACGTACCAAAGCACTATTTTCTACGTAATTAAGGGATGTTCCATTCTTCGTTGCAGAAGTCATCATTTATGGCGAAGTTAGAATTCTTGAAGTGGAACCTCGTAATCGCTTGCTACGCGGTTGAATATTCTCTTTATGTTCGAGAAAGTAATACAATTCCATTTTTCTGGCATCCGGTTTCGTCACTCCAGGAAATGTTTGTGATCAGCGGGTTGCCACTTACCTGGATTACTAATCGAAATTTATTCATTTATCGGTGATGTTTCCGTTTCATTTCAGTTTACCTTAATTGAATTGTTCTGCTGTAATTGGGTGTTTACTTTCTCTGTAATTAGTGGAAGTAACGCGCTTTTTACTGTTTTTTCCATTTGTTTCTTCTTATTAAAAAACAATAATACAGTCCGACTTCTATTTAAAGAACTTCCATTTTGCGAATTTCTCTATTTTGCGATTTTTTTTCGTGGAACCAAGAACTTTTCGGAAATTTCTTCGTAAAATTGTGAAATGAATTTTCTATTTAATGAACTTTTCTTTGAGATCCACTTTCCCTATTTCCCAAATTATTTTAAAACAATTTAAACTTGTTAGCGCATTTTATAGGGGAAATGACCTTGAATTGTTTTTCGTAGCGACTTAACTTTTAAATAACCAGTATAATTTCTTTTCCATTTTGTTTGCATTTCAAACAAAAAATTCAGGCAAAATTAAAGGATTTTCTCCGAAGAAATTAAACTTAAGAACGCATGTGGTAATGTATGTTTAAAATTGCTTTTATAATTAATGCAGCTATAATTTTATACATAAATTTAGCTTTTTTTGGTTGAAAGTGCATGTAGCATGTACTAGTACTAAATAATGTTTTGCTCTATTCTTTGCTTTCCATGCAGACTTCTTTTATGGATAAAATGTATAAAATAAATAGTAGGTAGTAGTTTGCAAGATAAAGGTGTACACTTTAACTAAAACTTGTGTTTATGAATTTAAAACCCATTCTGTGTTGTTTAAGTATTTCAAAAGATGGTTTTCTATTTATCGAAGTTTCAATAGAACGAACTTATTACCGAGATTTCGCTACTTCGTTATATAGAGATCCGACTGTATATACATAAAAATAAATATAATAATGGTAATTTGTTACTTAGATTCGTATCTAGAGACATTATACGAATTAATAACTGAATGGGTTTTACTTTGTTTTATAATCTGTAGTAAATATTGTAATTTTTAGGGTACTCTTCAAACTAAAGAGGAATTCAATTTTCTTATGTTAACTTTTTATTAACTTTCTCATGCTAAATTTCTCAACAATTTACAAAAGTAGCTCGCTTTATAACATTTTTTCCATTAGTTTCGTTTTATTTAAAAACATAAAAATAAAACATATTTGCATAAAAATAAATAAAGTATCGGTAATTTGTTATTTACATTTTGATATAGAGACATTATACTAATTAATAGCTGGATAGATTTCAATTTATTTTTTATTCTGCAGTGAATATTGTATTTGTTAGGGTACACTTTAGACTAAAGAAGAATTCAACTTTCTCATGTTAACTTTTTCATGTTAACTTTCTCAGCAATTTACGAAAATAACGCGTTTTTTAGCATTTTTTTCATAAGTTTCTTTTTATTGAAGTACAATAATATTTACATATATAAGTAAAATATCGATAATTTGTTATTTATATCTTTATCTAAAGACATTACACTAATTAATAACTGGATAAGTTTTATTTTATTTTATCATTTGCGGTTAGCTCTTGTTAAGGGTGCTCTTCAAACTAAAGACAAATTCAACTTCCCACGTATCGAAGTTAGGTAACTTATTAATATTTTATAATTTTTATTTCATTTGATTAATTTCCCCTCACACAGAAACTACTTTAACTTTGTAAATAATCGAAGTTCAGACAAAAGTAAAATATTTTTAGAGAGCTAAGATTACAGGGATTCCAAATTTTCAATAAACTAAATTTCAAATATTTTGCCCAAAATCATGCTTTTGCTTTAGTCAGTCAAGTCTTTTACTTAGTTATATTTTACCTTAAATTAATATCAGCGTGACATATTTAAATGTAAAAATATTTAATCGATATTTTCACTCATTCACTCAAGCGGAAGAAAGAATCAGCTGTAAATAGCTACTCGCAGCTGTTTGGAGCGATACTAATTCATATCCATTGTCTTTTTCGCCAATAACTTACACTCTCAAAACAAAGAATAGCAGCAATACTTAGCGTTTTGTTTTCACTGATGCCGACGTCAAGGTCTTTTTTATCAGAAAAAAGAAAGCCTAGTAAGATTATAATCAGATAGACAAGTAGATAGAATATAACATTTACATTGGTTCATTCAGAACCTATGAATGTTTCTTTTCGTTAATTGGGGCAAAAGAATAGCTTAAATATCACTCTCTTTTTCATCTCGCACCTCTTTTTCTTTCCCTTTCTCTTTTCTTTTTAGAATGATATTTTCTTTACATATGAAAATCTGGCTTTGAGCTGAAATAGATAAACAGCGAGATAAAGTTTTATTGTTATTTTGACATACAGTCTCCGCCCAAATTATTAGACGCACTCTAAGATTCTATGTAAAATTTTAATTATCAGGCTATACTATACAGCTTTATTGTTTTTACGTGACTGAAACCGGTTTGCACTTGTTCACCTTCGTCTATCAATTGGTTAGCATTGTAATGCATTTCGTTAAAAATAAATAAAAATAGGAAGCATATGAAAAATCTCCTGAATAAAAACCCATTACATAAAAACTCAATACTATAAAAGTATTGGATATAAACTCGTATAAGATATGTAATTATTGAAAAACTACAGTGTGTCTAATAACTCGGTCTAATTATTATAATATTCTAATATAATACCTGATATAATAAATATTCTATATTTATGTAATGCATAGCTTAATTTATCCAATCGTCGAATTCATATTATATATCGTCTAATTTAACCAATGGATGCACGAACATAAACTAGTGCAAACCGGTTTCAGTCACGTAAAATCAATAAAGCTATATCATATTACCTTATAATTAAGATTTTATATAGAATCTAATAGTGCATCTAATAAATGGGCCAGGGACAGTACTACCTGATATTAGAACTGATTGGATCAATTAGAAATCAGAAGCTTATGTGATATTTATACAAATAACAGTTGCAGTCATTCATAAATTGCACAAAAATCACAGTTCTTGTCATTGTAATTTGCATGTTTTTATAGTTTTGCAAAAGACTGGGTCCATTATTATTTAAAGTATGCTTTCATAGTTGTTGTTGTTCATTTACGTCACACTACAGCTGCACAATGGGCTATTGACGACGGTCTGGGTCCAGGGAAACATCCCTAAGGATGATCAGAACACATGCCATCTCAATTTTGATCCTCTGCGGAGGGGATGGCTCCCCCGCTTCGGTAGCCCGACGACCTGCATGCGAAGTCGAGCACTTTACGGTAGAACAGTTTAACGAGGACCAATATCGCACACCCTCGGTCCCTACGCAGACTGATCCAAATGGTCACCCACCCGCACACTCACCGCAGCCAGTGATGCTTGACTTCGGTGATCTGCTTGGAACCGTGTCTTAACGATCCGTCCACTGCGGGACTGTTTTCATATTAATATGTACTTTAGATATTTTGTGAAATAAAAAATTAAGATCAATCGTGGCTAATATGAAGCAAAAATGTTTATTTTCACTGTTATTTTTTAACTATTGAATCCAGAATGATAAAGTGATTTAGCCTGTGTTTTGCTTTGCTTATCTGCTAATGGATAAAAATTATTAAATGTCTTAAAATACAAACATAACATTCAACTAGTCATATTACTCTCAACGCATTTGGCATACGTGAAACATGTCACAATTTCTCTCTGGATTTATTAAGACTCATGAAAAAAAGTAAAAATTTGCTGATAAGCAAATCCATTATGCATTCATGAATGATAAGTATTCATTAAACCAAAAAAAAAAAATTTTTTTTTTGAACAAGATCGGTTGAATTGTTTCTGAGAAATCACCATTTACAGATAAAGCTTCATTAAAATTTGATTTCACAGAAACTATTCAAACTTAGTGTTTTGCCTTATAATATTACATTCTTTAAAATAATGTAAGATCTTGTATGTATGGACTGCTATTCAAAATTTTTCCGACTATTATTATATAGAATAATAATAAATAATTATTAAAAATTATTTTTTACTTGGAACCATCTTTGGATAAACGAATCGTATAACTATGTGCAAAAATTTTTTCAATTAGTTGAAGAAATTTCAAGATATAGCGAAGTACGCAAAAAGTGAAATTAAAATTAAGGGGGGGGATTTGGACCAATCTCCTGACCTAACTATTGAGATCATATTTCCTAGGTTGCGGTTACGTCCTATCAGAAAGTCAAAAATCCAAACCTGTTGAAAAAATAGTATGTTTACTCAGAGTTAGTACGTTATTGTGTCTGATTTCGTAATTTTAAGAATAGTCTGCACATATTAATTAACATATTTAACAAATTAATTAACGTATTAATTAACGTACCCTCTTGAAACATAAACAATGAGCCTAGCACGTTTAGATCCAATCATTAAATTAAAAGTTATTGAAGGAGATTCGTTTATTTTTTTTTTCGTATTTATTTTTCAACTGTGATTTCTTAGATTGAATACCATTCCATATAATATATTTGTTGGCTTTAGTATATATATATACTTATGTATTTTTTCCTTAGGGTGCCGCGGGATATTATGGAGCCGCCGGTCTCAGTGCCTATTGCCCCTTGGCAACACAAACATTACCTCCTGGTCCCTATTCCCCGCCAGATAGAACAAAACCTCCTATTGGTAATTACATTATTGCATGAACATACATTTTTAATTCTCTCAGGGATGCTTTATAACGTTCATATCAGATGTTCTAAGGCAGAAGCTATTCCGCGCGGTATAGGGAATTATGCTTCACCTCTATTGTTATACTATTAAAATTTAAAGTTAAGAGAACAGCAAGTTAAGATAAACCTACACTGTAAAGAAATTCAGATTAAAATGCGGTACGAAGTACCGTCTCTCAGGATGGCGGTACTTTTTACCGTAAAATCCATTTTTACCGGAACGTAGTTACAAAACAAAATGATGCTCCGTAATTTTTTATGCATAATGATATACCGTTACAGTAATAATGTACCCTGATATGATGTACCGTAATTTTTACAGTAATAATTACCGCAAAATTACTGAATCACTACTTGTTACTCAAATTACAATCACTCACTGTTACTCAAATTACTAATTAATAAACGTTACTGTAAAATTTACGATATAATATTTTACGGTAAATGGATTTCACGGAAAATGTACTTTATGACCGGTACTTTTATTCTGAATTTTTTCAATGCAAAGTAAACCTTGAAGTTTCAAATGCTGTTAAATGTTTGAAGAATATTAAAACGAAAAAAAAATTTGCAATATTTATTACACCACTACGTAATTCGAAAAAACACTGTCATAATTTGATTGTACTTCGATATTTTACAAATAATTTTTTTTTCAGCATTTGAAACTTCATGGTTTACTGTAGGTTTACAAGATTTCCCTTTTCCCTTTTTTCCTAATTTCAAACTACTTATGTGTGGGGGGAAATATTTCACCATGAAGAGTTTTTCTCTCGGTAAAGCATCCCTTTAAATCATCTCGCTTCATCATCAGATTGCCTATAAATAATAGTCAAGATTTCCTAACCTTATAATTTTTAATTAAAGAATGTAGAAGAAAATATTATTATATATTTAAAATGTACAACTCGAAAATGTTTCTTTATAATACTGAGTCGTAAAGTTGAAGCTGATTTCATTTCAATCAAATGATTATATAAATCAAATCATTATTAAGAAACTAATTTTCTTTAATCAAATCATAAAAATTATACTTTTATTTGGTCGAATGAGTAAGTGAAATGTTAATATTACATTATCAAATGTGTAATAAAAAGGATATATTTTCCCCATTGTGCACATCTTACAAAACTTAGCGAGACAGGGCTTAAATGCCTGTTACGTATTCTACCTTTTTACCTCGAAAAATTCCAGATCAGTTTACAAGATAAAAAACCGGCACTCTAGGTGCATTATTCGTAAAATCCATAATACAGTAAAATAAATTTTTACCGTTTAATATTATGCTTAAATTTTTGAAGTAATATTTATTTAATTACAACAAATTAGTCTTTTTACTGTAATTATAACAGTAAAAATTACGGTTTATCAGATTTTTTATTTCGAAACATGTTCCGGTAAATTGAATTTTACGATGAAAAGTACCGTCAACCTAAGACTTTTACCGGAATTTGATTCGGAATTGTTTGCAGTGCACTGTGCACATAATTAAATTTTTTTTTAAATAAAAAATGTTCTAAAATTTATTGCATGAATAGTCACAGTCTTTAGAAAAGGACCTGTATATAAAAACCCAAGTTTAAAAACTTTCCGTGGATTTCTTTTCATTTATTTTATTTTATAACCACCGTTGAACAGCTGACCCAATTTTTTGAGTTTACGACTACTAATATTCCGTAGTAATACTCCGTAGCCTCGTAATTTTGAACCCAATCCAGAAGACAACTGAACTCTTGGATCAAGTATTGGGAGAAATTTGCCTTCTTGAAGGACTTTTTGATGAAACAAACCCACGTTTGCATTGCATGGAAAGGAAGGCCACGAAAACCTCCCACGGTGAGCCTGACGGCAAAGAGACTCTAACCCATGATCCGTCTACCACTGAGGATATTGTACGTCAGCACTGTGAACGATGCAAGCCGGATGCGTAATTCGTATCGATCAGCCATCGTTGGGATTTGAGCCCGGTTCACCTTATTGGAAGGCGAACTCTCCATCCCCATAGCCATCATGTTTCAGTTTTTATATATTTAGAAATTAAACAATAGAACTTTTATTTAGATTTTGATTTATTTGTAATATATTTTCAGCTTATGCTCAAACCCTGCCATGGGGCGCACATTTAACGTATGCTCCTGCTGGCCCTCCAAGTCCAGAAAGGCGCCCTAAAGAAATTCTTATACCACCCGGTAACAACATTTTTATTGCATCTATCATACAGTATCTTTTAAAAATCTCTAAAAAATGTTTTTCCGGATTTATTTTTTAAATCAATATTAAAAATATATTCTTAAGTGACAGTTAAAAATGTTCAATTAATAATTTTATATTTTGACTGTCTGTTTTTTTTTTAAATAAGATAATCTATCTGAACTATAAGATTCATTAAAATATTTAAATTGATTATATCTATTATAAAACATTTAATAGTAATGAGATATATTGTGTGTTTTTTTCTTCTAATATTGGGCAATAATAACATAATTATGAAGTATATAAAGTATTATGTTTAGCAAACTTAATAAGCACTGCTAAGCACAGTAAACAAAAAACTAACTTGAATTTACTTATTTATCTAAAATTTCGAGAATAAAGTCTGATTAGACTTACTTTATAAACTCTTGTTCGAAGAATAAAATAAAGGATATTTTTGTTACTCTTTTGAACTGTTTATTTATTGAGATATTTTAAGAATTTCATGCCCATTTTTAAAATCTATAATGTAATTTTCTTACAAATCAAAAAAATAGTTTTTTTTTCTTTTTTTAAATAATCTAGGGGGCTTACCCCCCTTGCTCCGATCACAAACTCCCGCAACTGTCCCTCTCTCATCTTCGTTTTTTTTTTTTATCGATATGGCAACAGATGCAACAAAAATATTATTTTGTTTCTATGTAAACATTTATTAAAATTTTATGTAGAAGCATTTTATTATTATGTTAATCGTAATGAAAGGAATTATTACTTGGATTTGAAAACTAATCAATTGTACTAGAGAAAAAATTAAGCTTGGGAATACAGAGTGTGTGGCACAATTATAACTAATTTAAAAGTAATTAATTAATAATTTTATTTGTTAATCAGTAACGATAACATACTATATCATTCAAACTGAAAATGTTATTTTTCAGAGTCATTTATATTTTTTTTAAAATTTCGAAATAAATATTGAAAATTACGTTTAGCAACAATCTCTCTTATTTTTTTACATTATTTATTCATTAATTTGTTACTTTTGACGTCAAATTGAACGCGAGCTTATAATATAAAATTATCGAGAAAGATAAATAAAATTTTCATTCAGAATGGATTATCACCATTTAGAGCAAAAAGAAAATCAAAAAAATATATATATTTACGAAAAAAGCACTAAAAATTGCCTTCACTTTAGAACAAATAAGAATTTCAAAAAAAAAAAAATAATTATCACAAGAAGTTTATGAAAAGGCCGTTTCAGTTCAACTTTGTAGTTACATTTCAGCTGGCAGTAGATTGACCCACGTGATATTTTCTACTACAAGTTTAGCAATTAATAATTCTCAAAATAATAATCAAATGTTGATCATTTTTATTTCCTAGCACTCCCTTCTACTTTTCGGTACTTACGTATTAACGCAACCAGGCCAAAATTCGCATAAATCGCCAAATTTGGCGATCCTACTTACGGCAACCCTGCGTGTTATACGTGGTTTTTCGTAAAAAAGCAAAATAATAATAAATAATTTTGTTTTAATAATAATTTGATAATTTTAATAATAATTTCGTTTTAATAATAATAATTTGTTTTAATAATAATAATTTGTTTTAATAATAATAATTTTGTTTTGAATAATTTTAAAACAAAATAACATTAAAAACTGTATTAAAAATTATGTGTAATTAATAAATGTACATTTTCTTTCTATTCATACTTTCTTACTCAAACTTACAAATCGTGCCAACCTGGTTGCGATAATACGTAAGTACCAAATTTTCTCTACACTTTCGTAATTTCAAGTTTAAGAGTCTTATAGATTTTGCCCAATTTCCTATTTTAAATGAAACAAAATTTTGAACACCCGAAAAGCTGTAGGGGTGATTCTTACGATTTTTTATTAAATAGAGGGATGTATGGCTTAAAACTAATTCAAAATTTAATTTTTTGCGTAATTTTTTTCTTGATACTTTTAAGGAACCCTATTTCTTCTCAATGTTATTCTTTTTTTCAATCATTATTCTGAATGCATTACAAGATTACGTAACTCAGCGAGCTAAAATGAGTAATGTTTATTCAAGACATTACTTATCTCAGATACGGTTTAACTTATTTTATTCATTTATTGCATAACGTTAATATACCTACAAAATAATTCATTTGTGTGTTTGTCATAGGCGTCATGCAACCTCCTCCGAAGCCTCAACGGTCTTTTCAACAAGGGGGAACCTTACCTATAGGAAAAGGAATAAGATGCACACCTCCACCTCCTACAGGTCCACCCCCTTCTATACCATCCCCCCGCTCAGGCATGCCCAGGCCAATGGGTAAGTGTTCGTCATCATTGTATTCAGCTTCTTCGAATTTTTATGTTCCCTTTTTTTTTCATTATCATTCTCATCTTTTATTTACGAAAAGAAGAATATTGTCCCCAACCAAACAATAGATCAAAAACGTAAGCCGAAAATTTTATGGCGGTATAAAAAAAGGATAAATGCCGAAAGATTTTCAAAGAATTATTCAATTCGATTTTTTTTCTTCTTGGGCTTGGCTAAAATGCTTTATACAAATGCTAGTGATTATAACCTTTAGAGCCTTTTTTTTAAAAACTTTACTCATAAAAAAGTTTTATTCTTGATTTAATTTAATTATTTGAATACAATAATTTTATTAATACGTGTTAATATTCAAATTACTAGGTAATGAATATTTCCATTTGGATTCTTTTAACACTGTATTTATATATATATACACTGTATTTATATTTTATGAAATGACATTATTTTTATCGTAGATTTCTTCTTTTAAGCACTTATTTCATTAATAAATGTAGATTAATAGTAAATTAATGCATCGTACCACCCTTTCAAAATACACAGTGTGGATAAAAAGCGACAAAAAAAGAATTTATGAAAGTATTTTTATTAGTGTAAATACCTTTAATTCGATACAATTTGAACACTTTTTTGTCTTCGGGATTCCAATTTTCTACATTTGTAATGACTTTTTAAAGTATATATATATATATATTTTTTTGTTNTATATACACTTCTAATTGAATTTCATTAAAAGATTCTTAAGAATTTGTTAAAAGTTATGTAAGTGAAATTTTAAAAAAAATTTGAAAGTCGTAATTTTATTCGAAAAAATTTTTACAGTTAAAATTTGCAGTTACAATACTAAAAACTATACAGTTGAAATTTTTAAAAAAAATTTTCAGTGTCAATTTCGTGCCAATGAACTGCTAAGTGATAATTTTGTTCAAAAAAAAAATATTTTATCGGAAAAATACAATCTAAAGTTTCAACGCAATTGCAAAATAGTTAACGTTTTACCATTTTTGTTATGACTTGAGCTGGAAACTACAGTTAGAAATTTTAAACAGATTCTATAAGCTGGTGGAACTTGTAATTTGGTACTTGATCCTTTTTCAACCTTTTTTAATTTTAATTACCATGTGCATAATTTTACTTCCAGAAACAAGAGTGCCTCCATATCCACGTTACGGTCCTGAAAGAAGACATGAACCTCAAGGTGGATATCGGCCTCCTCCTGAGAGGCCTTTCTCTGCCGGGGCTCAACCCATCTACACAGTATCCCCCGAAAGGCACTACGAGCCTACCTACCGCAAGAGCTTTGATGGAGGCGGATATCTGTCTTCGCCCGAAAGGCGCTACGAGCCTGCCAGGGCTTTTGCCGCGGCGGCGGCTGCTGCTGCCCCGATATCTCCGTACGAGGAACCCTATTACAGCGGCACGGAGAGAATATATGGGACTAGATCAGGATCTGTGACGCCTGTCGTTGACGAAGAAGCAAGGTCTGTAACCTTATACTTAATACAGGTACAACAGAATTTCTAAATAAAATGTATTGTTGATCAATATAATCTGAAGAAAATTAAATCATTGTAATTTTTATATTGTTAATTCATCATAAAATGCATAATGTTATAGGTAAAAACTGGTTTCTATAGTTTATATTAATCAAAATGGTTTAATACGTTTATCATTTCGATTACATTTCACTGAGGAACAAAATTTTTTTTGCAAATATTTTATCTTGCCTAATTCGGCTTCAGGGACTTCAAATCTGCAATCGGTTTATCTCTCCAAGCTGCAGTTAACGACATATATATATATATATATATATATATATATATATATCATAAAGCATATCATTAGTATGAAAACTACATAGGAATCCAAGGTCGGAAGTGCCGTTAGGAGCGCTTCCTTATTATAAACTGCTTCTTCGTGTACTTCTGAATATACATGTATAGGGAAACGCCCCTAGTCAAATGCAGTGGCATTTCTGGGGATAGGTAAGCTCACCGGACAAAAATTTAGTCACCCTTAGAGAAGTCATGAAAAAGATCATTTAATAACGTGTTATACCGCCTTTAGATTTGATGACCGCCTGGATTCAGTTAGAAAGTGAGCCCACAAGGTTTTGCAAGTACGTCGAATCCAGTTTAAGCCCCTCGTTGAGAATTTGATCACGCAGATTCAGCAAATTGTGAGAATTGTGATTTTGGCGTTTTACCCGTTGTTCCAACATGTCGCACAAATTTTCAATGGGGTTCAAGTCAGGTGATTTTGCTGGCCAGCCGAGATATAATTGAGTGTCTGAGTGTTCAAAAACCAGTCACATATACTTGCAGCCCCATGAACTTTGCTGTTGTCATCTTGAAAAATAGGGGTATCGACAACACACTTTACATGAAGAGGGTGACGGAAAGGCAACTCCTAATTGTCCAGAACTTTCAAATAAACACGTTGGATCATGTTAGTGGCTCCCTCAGTTAGGAGCCCAATCCACAATAAGAAAAATACCCCAAGTCATGACAGACCCACCTCCGGCTTGAACCTATGCTTGCACACAGTCAGGATGAAATGCTTCATCTGGTCCGCGTTGCACTTGCAGACGTGCTTCTTTTGATTAAATGCAAAAACGTGTTTCTTCAGGCCATATTACATTCCGCCAGTCAGCAACTGTCCATGTTCGGTGACTTCTAGCCCACTGAAGTCGCGCAGCTTTATGTGCAAGTCTTAGCAATGACCTCTTGCAAGATGTTCGACTCCATATGTTCATTGCATGCAGCTCCATTCGCAATTTTTTCTCACTAAAAGACTGGGATGGATCTTCATTTAGTAACTGAAGTAGTTCCTGTCCAGTTTGGAAGCGATTTTGATTGAAAAGTCGTGTCTCCGGTCACTTTCATGCAGGATCTTTTTCCGACCACAATTCTGACGGCGTCTTTCGTGACCACGTATATTACACCACTGCTTGTAGACACGTTGAACAGTCAGCTTTGAAACGCCAACAAATCCAGCAACTTTATTCACCATATGACCATTGGCACGGCCAAGCACAATTGCCCCTTTTTACCACTCTATCACATCTTTACTCTTACCCATATTTACACACAATTTCCGCTTCAAACAAAAATATCTCACTGATAGCTACTTGTCTTTGATCAGATTGAAGCAGTGTGTATGCAATTGAGCACGTCACATGACCACTGCGTCATCTAACGAAGCCTAAGGATTCATCGGTGTTTCCGCTCTAGGGGGACTAATTTTTTGTCCGGTGGGCTTACTTATTCAATTCTAATCCTGACCTCTATATTTTGGCATGTGCATTTTGACAAAATATAGGGTGAAAATCTCATTTAAAAATTAACTATAGCTTTGAGAGAGAAACCAATTGCAGATTTGAAATCAGCGATACGAAAGTATCTAAGATCTGCTAAAAAAATCTTATTTAATAAAAAACAAAATATTTAAAATAATAATAATTGTTCCCTAATTTTATTTGTTATTATATGATTTGCTTCTTGCAGAAAGAGCTTCAATCCTGCAAACTACTCTTAGAAAAAGCTATAAAAAATAATATCTGTGTGAAAAATCTGAAGAAAAAAAAATGGTCTAATTACTGTTCCATAAGCATAATTTTTTCCTGACATTTTTTATTGATAGGAAGGGCTTAAAAATGGTTTTCATTTTAGCTTTTCCGACAGGAATGACACCTTTTTTGACGAGAATGAAACCATTTCAGCATATAGTAATTCATATCATATCAAGACGATGTTAGATCAGGGGTTCGTACATTTCTTAAATAACATTTTAGAGCATAGAAATTTTATAAAATGTGGAAATTACATTCAATTAAGGCACACAAAAATTTCGTGCCTGAAAAACAATATTTTATTTAATAAATAAAATGGTGCGTACCTGTACCATTTCCTAAATCAATAGACAAGCACTAGTTTTTTGATGAAATTTGTATTATTTTCATTTTATTTACAGAACTTGCAACTTTAATCCATCGTAGAAACATATGATCTATCTAGAATGAAATAATTATACATCTTCATAGAGTCGAATTTGTCAGTAACTATCTGAAGTTAAGAAACTAGCGTAGTTTAAAAATTTCTCAACAAAAAATGTTTACTTCAATTGAATGACTAATAGTTTATTAATGTCTTCAGAACCCTTGACAATAACAGAAAAATATGCGTTACAATATTAATGATAATTATATCATGAATGCGGATACAGAAACTGATGATGGTATGGCATCAAACAGTTGTCTGTCTTTCTAACATGTTTATTTGTGCAAATTGAATATAATATTCAATGACCCTGTTTTACTTTTAATAAAAAAGAAAAGAAACTAATTTGTGAATTTTCCAGCTTTGTCGCAACAAAAAGATTAATATTTTATTTTGTTTTCTTTATTAAGAAAAGCATGTATATTGACAATCAGTCTTTTCTAAACTAACCTTTGTATTTTGAGCAATGAACATATTTTTAATTAGTAACTTTACAATGAACATCTTATAATACTCTTCCTATAGATCATATAAAGTCTAGGTTTTTATCTAAAATGCCTAAGTACATAATAATTCTCATATTTTATATTTTGCTTAAAAATACAGGCATTCTGTAAAATTCTAAGTTATTCTGTAGAATGCCTTTGTTTCACGCATTGCATGTAATATATAATAATAGTCGTTCGTAAAATCTGACTTTATTTATAGAAAACTCTCTACCAAATAATGGTCGTTCAGAGAGTAAGTGGTGTGGGGAAAAAATTTCTTATTTTTTAAAGATTATATGATTTTTCATGTGCGAAAATTAGAATAGCATTCTTTCCAAGCAATGGCATATTTTCTAGTTATTGGTATTTTTTCCTTCAGAATTTTGTTTGATTCTTCTTATTTTTGACTCGATCTTTTGGTCAAAAAGAATTTTGCATAGTTATGGTCTTTCATATGCATTTTTGGAATATCTTTTGCTCTAAAAGAATCAGTAAAAAAATTATGCATTCATCAGGATACGTAAAATTAAATTTATTCTTAAAAAAACGAAACATTAAAGTTGACCTATTTAAAACGAACCATTAAAGTGGACCAGAGCAAAGAAGGGAATAAAATCATCGAAAAAAGTTTAGTTTTATTTAGTATATAGTATTATATAGAGCTCTGATTATTCATAACAAGTTATCTGATTTTTGATGAATTTAGTTTTAATTCTTTTTTTTTTCTCTGATGGTCGGCATCAAAATGTTTTGTTCTATTTTTATTTATTTATTTATTACAAATGCCCAGAAGATTGGCTATGACGCCAGTTCTCTGGCCTTCCAATATCTCTGTAGATTACAATTTAAAAACACAAGTGCAGAACACGAGTCAAGATGAGAAACATCAAAAATTTGATGTTGTCCACATAAAGTACAACATCAAACTATCAACAAAACAACTTATTCTGTTTTTTTTTACGTTTTCTTTTTTTCCTTTATTAAATATAAATTTGTAAATTTTATAAAGGATTAATAATTTTAAAATTTTAGAAAGGTTCTCGGAATATATATTAAGGGAGGTGATTGCGAAATACCCTGCAGACATATAATATTTTTTTAAAACCATGAATAAAAAACAATACTATCTCTTATAATTTTTTATTCTTAGAGTGAATCATAATACATATTAATTTCTCTAAACAGACTTCGAGTAGAACATATGGAGCGCCAGTTGGCAAGCCTTACCGGATTAGTTCAAAAAGCGTTGTCTACACCTCTTCGGCCACCCTCTCAATCACAACAGATCCCCACTAGAGACATCACTAAGGAAAGAGGTCAAGGAGGTCAGTCTCTCTGAACTCCAGTTGTATTTTTATTTTTATTAAATTTAAATTGTTGATATTCTAATGTAGTAACGAATGAAAATCATTTTATAGTAATGGTTAGTTTGTCTTAGAATTCCTGTGTATTCTCTAACTAGATCACCCTAAGAGCCTCAAATTTAAGTATCTCAGTTCTCTAATAGACAATCAAATATAATGAAAAAATTTTCTTGACCTTGTTTCTCTGAACAGTACTACCAAAAAAACTGAAAAAAAGCATAAATAAAGGTGCATAAGCAGAAAGTGATCAATGAAAAACCGTTTTGAGTGCCAAAACACTGAATTAAAAATAGAAACTCAAAAATTCTGAAGAAAATTGCAAACAAATTATATCATAGAAAACGGAGTTGATCAATTGGGTAGGAAAAAAAATGTATGGTGGAGGTAGGGGATTCGTTTGATTTTCTTGTGCAAGCATGTTTCCCTTACCTTATTGCTAAACCTCTTTTTTCATTGTTGTAACTTTTTTGCTATTTTTTTCTGAACCTTTGTGTTTCCCTTTTCTATTCTGTGTTCAGACGCAAAAAATGGTGTTTAATTATCTAACCAAAACGGCTGTAACTCTGTTTATGTGACCTAATTTTTGCTCTTTTCAAGTCTTACATCATCAAGTCAAGTTCATTTATAGCGCAAAGTTAAAAAAAATCTTTACTTGTTTCTCTGTTTTAAAAAGGAACATTTATGATTAATGTAACGCTTTGAAATGCAAATGTTATATATTAAGAAATAAATGCTATGAGGATGAATCTTTGCATGAAAACTCAATTTGTTTTGGGTAATAAAAACATATTTTGTTATTTTAAAATTTTCAAAGCCTTAAAATCATATCGTAAAACATGCACTATGCTAAAAAATAATTGCGATCAATCTCTGTAAAAAACTCTTGCTTCGCTATTAAACATACTTAAAATCTTCATATATAATGCGTTCCACATTTATTAAGTATGGAACATTTATTTATTAAATTCGTTTATTCCTGTCAAAATAAATAACTATGAAAAAATAATATCAGGGTTTTTTCATCTCAAAATAAAACACAAATGTATATGCTCACAATGCTGTTAGTTATAATTCGAACATAAATAATTAAAAATTGATTTTTTGTGCTGTAAATTTAATATCATGTTAAGAAAACAATTATTTATACTGATTTGCAACAAAAAATAATATAATAATAATAATCAGAATAAATAACTATGAAAATATATTATCAGTGTTCTTTCATCTCACAAAAATATGACACAAATGTATATGATCACAATACTGTTGTGTGTTACAATTCGATCAAAAATAATCAAAAATCAATTTTTTCCAGTAAATTTAATATAATATTAAGTAAATAATTATTTATACTAATTTGCATTAACAAAAATAGATACTTCAAACAATACATGAAAAATAGACTTTCAATGAGTATGACTTTCCATGATCTACTGGAGATAATTTCGAACGGATTTCGTAACAATATTTTTGACTTTAGAGGTCGAATATTTTAAAAATATCTTTATTGCTAAAATGACGATGAATCTAAAATTGAAAAAAATAAAAATGCAAAAAATGAAAATGCAAACTATAGAATGGAAAAAAATGACTTTATCATTAATTTCTCTATTTTTTAATTTTTTTAAGCATTTAAATATGTTTCGAAAACATGCATCAAACTAAAATTATTTATAATTTTAAAACCTGTGAAGGAAAAATATTAAATAATTTATGCATTGAAAATATAAACTTTTTTTCATATTTCTTTATAGAAGGATACTCTGAAGCACGATCTTCTAAGTCTTCTTCCTGTACGTCGTTAGCAGGTAAAAAAATAACTACTTATTCAACAAATGTTGTGCAATTTTTTATGTAAATTACATAAATTATACATAAGCTATGAAAGTTTAGTTCAATGTAATTGTAAATTGATCAAATTGCATACAGTTTTGAATTGTCTTAACGAAAATTGTTTTTTGGTATACCCTGTCAATGTTATGAATTGCATATTTTAGAAATAACGATATTGTAATAGTTTGAAGTTAAAAGTTCAAAAAATTCCACAAATTGTTCTATTTTATTTGTCAATGTAATATAAACTCTCTCTCTTCACTTGAATTTTTTTTCAAATGAGTATAACATCGTAACAATTTTCTGTGCTGATCAGAAATTTTCTTTAATCGTTTAATAAAGTTAAGCAAAGTAAATACTGAAATTAATCATTAATAATTGCTCTAAATATGGAATTTGTTCATTTAAATTTTCAAGATAAATGATTGTAGAAAAAAAAAACCTTAAATATTCTAATTGATTTTTATATACGGTAACTTAGGATATGAAATTAGGGACACAAAAATGTACTTTCCTAAATAAATATGTATCTTACTCTTAAAGAAAAAAAAGGGGGGTAGCTCTAATATAAAAACAGTATCTTAATAGTTTGGCACGAGTAACAATGACAGACTCCTTAAAGTAAAATGTGTTGCGTTTTTCTTTAAATTTGTAATTAATTGCGCAAAATTAGCAAATAATTATTTATCTAGTTTTTCTAAATATTATTTGTATATTGTCCAAAGTACCCAAGGCAATGTTAAAGTATATTACTTTTGTCAAGTCATTTAATTGCTTATTATCTGCTGTGGAGAAAAAACGGAAGTCAACTTTACGAAGTTTTTGGTCGAATGCTAGCGCTAAATTCATTGATTTGGGTTTTTCCACCTAAATGGTTACAGAAAGTAATACATTTAGATAAAATATTTCATTTTTGTCATTTGTTGACTTGGGCATTTTAGACAATGCCTACCATATATTTATGCGAAATATTTTATTCAATGCTTCTTTATAATGTTTTTTTTTAATAAAGAACATAAAATAGAAAAAAATTGAGCTCTAAGATATCTATCTGGAATCATTAGAATATGTAAAATAAACAATTTTTAGTTATACATAAAGTTTGAATAATTTTTTATAATTTTTTTAAAAATATAGTGAATTATCAAAAGGGCTAATATTGTTTTAAAAAAAGTTTTTATATATTATTTGCTTGCATCAGAAAAATTAGCTATCTTAATTCTGATGACAATTCTGATAGCCACAATAGTTCTTGATAGTGATCACCAAACTTACCCCAAACTATGTTATTCTTATTTAATATTCTTTCATTTCGATACAACAAATATCTAGCTGTTAAAGAAAGAAAATTTGTGATTATTTATGTTATCATGAAAGACAGCAATTGAATCAAATTATAAATATCTAGCCCCTTCAAGATCATGATCACGTATATGTGATCAATTAATTTTTCATTCACAACCAACAAACGAGTCTTTCTGATTCACACAAGATCACACTGACATAATCTTAATACTGTACCTTCGTGTTATATCTCGTATTATTTAGTATGCGCACACTTAGTGCGTATGAATTTGAAGTTAGCTCGCCAGGGTAAGCACTTCTTTCTCCATCTGCACTGTAAAAAATTCCGGATCAAATTATGGTAAAAAGGACCGACGTTCAGTGTGCCGGTACTTTTTATCGTAAAATTCAATTTTACAGGAACATGTTACGGACTAAAAATCAAATATACCGTAATTTTTACAGTAATAATTGCCGTAAAATCACTGAATCACTCTAATTAAATAAGTATTACAGTAACATTTACTGTATATTTTACGGTGAAAATGGATTTTACAGATGATGCACCCAAAGTGCCGGTACTTTATACCATAATAATTTTATCAGGAAATGTTTACAGTATATTGCTTCTTGTATTAGTACTCATACGTACTCTTAGTACCTGCAAATTCGGAGTTTTCGGGCGTGGGGGTGCGTTTCTTTCTTTATCTGCCAGTCCTATAGGGGTTAAATAAATCCATGTATTATCAAAAATAAATTACATTTTATGCATTCTGGTTTTACGTATTGATCATGATAGAGAGAATTGTTCATACATTTCACTTTCATACATTCTCAATAGTTTCTTTCATCAAATGCCTTTTTTATTATATTTTAGATGAAAATTCTGAGCCCCAGTTAGAACACCACTCATCTAAATATTCTTTTAAAGGTAAAATATTCAACATAATTTACATTTTTTTTTCTATTTTAATATAAATTTTAAAGTATGTTTTTGTTTATTCTGCTGCACTTTTTCTTGTTATTAGTTATACATAATAAACTTATTTATTTGCCTAATTTTGTTTCTGAATTTATTTCAAATTTAACTGAATGCTTGAGTTCAGGAATTATAAAATGACTTAAGTTAATATTATAACCATTAATAATCTTTCCATAACATTTTTACTCTTAACATTTTTACCACACATGCACTATTACGTTGCCGGATAAGGCTTTTTAATACTCGGCTGTTTGTCCCATTATAAAATCGCACAATTCAATTACAAAGTCAAAAGTAAAATTCCAGTTCAAATTAAAATAGTTTTTGCTTTGCATTAGGTCAAAAAAAAGTTTCCAAGTATTTTAGACATAGAAGCTTTCAATTATTGAATGATATTAAGAAATAAAATTATCTAGATAATTTTTGGTTAGAAATCATATCATTTACATAAAGAAATTTAAAAATGAATCTAATTTTATGAATGCAAATGCTTATATGTTCTTCAGTAGTGAATAATTTTTCAATATTTGTTTTAGTATTTATCACATGCTTTACGTTAAATTGAATATTTCATATATTCATTGTTAAAGACATTCTTATATAAAATTATTTCCATTTCCTTTATTTTGTACTATTAAATGGGATGAAAATTAAGCTTGAAGATTCTCCAATTACCTTTGATATTTTATTTCATTTCTTATTAGTAGAATAAATATAAAAGTAAAACTTAAAAATTTCATTTTGAATTTCATAAACATAAAAGCAAAATTATTGATAACTATTTTGAGTTGAAAGTATTTTTTCATGCGAGCTTATGTTTCAATTTTCTGAAAGTTGGTCTACGTATTTAAAAATGTATTAACAAATTATTAGTACAAAAAAAATTTATTAATGAAAATACTAAAGCTAAAAAAGAAGTAGAATAAATTTAAAGTACTAATATTAAAATTAAATAATCGTTTTTAAGAATTATAAATCATCTTTAATTTACAATAATCAAAATGTATAATAAACTATATCTAAATCATAGTATACAGAAATATTTCATCGTTTCAAAATATTATAGAAAATAATATTTCTGAATGAATATACTGTAAAATTTGATTTAAGCTATTTAAACGAAACATATTTATTCTAAAAAGGGTAAAGTTATGGAATCGAAATTGTTGTTATTAAAGCTGATTTTTATCATAAGATAAAATAATTTAATCCTTTAGTTCATAAAGTATTATATAAAATCCTAAATTAATTGAACTAGAATACAATTAAGGGCACTTCAAAGTTCCAATTATTTTAACGATATAATTAAATATTTTAATGATATAATATAAAAACATACATGCTTTTGCCAATTTTTTATAAATGGAGCTTAAAAAAGATTTAATAAAATTTAAAAAGTTTGCCCATGCTATCCGTCCTATGTAAAAAAATTTATACTTAAATAAAATTTTTATTTTTACCGAAGTGGTGATGATTTTTATCCATAATGAAGTAATTATTTCTCATCGCTTATCATTTGACCATTGTTTTTAATTCAATTTTCTAGAATTTTAAATTTTTTGTACAGTTTTTAATCATTTTTGCAATTTTGAGCTTAATTTTGCTTATTAAATATTTTTTGATGTAAATTTTGGTATTATTAAATTTTTGTATGTTTTATGCGTGTTCTTTTAAAAAGCTTTGTAGTATGAAATGTTTTTGAAATTTTATTGTTGTTTAATCAACAACAAAAAAAACTGTAATCATTTTGAAGTATTTAAGGACTTGAAGCATTTTGAAAGAAAATAAGAATTTTTGAAAATTTTTTAAACTTATTTTAGAATTTTAAGAAAATGTAAAATTTAAGGTAAATTTTAAACAAATTGTCAAAGTTTATTCTTGTTCTGTAATAATACTGAAACTTCTTATTTGCCTAATCTAAATTATTTACTTAATATACATAGACAAATTTAAAACTAATGTCTAAATTAACGCTATCTAATCATGTTCTAAATCATGAAATTTAAATAATGATAATGCTGGAATTTTCGTTTAAAGGAAGGAGGAAATTTATTACAAAAATTTCTTTTTTCTTGTATTTTACTCATTTTAATTCTTTTTATATACAAAGTGAAATAGAGGGTTATCTGCATTCTCATTCCTTAATACATATTTTTAGAAACATTGTCAAAAATAAAATAAAAATGCGCAATTATAAAAGTCAAAAGTTATATTTAGCGAATGCTAAAAAACGCTATTAAAATCTACAAAATCACTATTGAGAAAGACAGGTATGAAAGCATCAAAGCTTTTTTGAATTTCGGTTGTAAATTAAAGTTTTTTCTAAAGCTCATGCTTCAACTGTTCCTTTAATCTCTTATGCAGTCCACCAAATTGGAATGTCAAAAATGTTTGGTTTTTGTTGAAGTAGGAAATTAAACACACCAAAATATGTTTGGTTGCTTGATGAACAAAAGATAAGTTGAACAGATTTTTAAAAGACACCATCAAGTTACAACCGGCAATCAGACTCGTTTTAATATTGTCAATTTTTACCTTCCTCTATAATGATTCGTCAGATAGATTTTTATACCGTTTTTTTTTCCTCAGAATTAATATTAATCTGTGACACATATGATGAGATAAAAGTTTGGACAAAACTACCAGAATATAGTAACATTTACCGCATTTCTTGCTCTATGGGAACACCAAAAATCTCAGTAGTTTTTACCAAAGCTCTTTGGTAATGACATCGATGAAATTGAAAATAAAATATGGTTTTATAATATGAAATAACATTTGGTAAATCAAATGAAATTTGTTATTTTTATAATGAAATCGTAGAGCCTGGCATATAAATCATTTATTCGTATAAATTTGCATTTCAGTTAAGTATTTTTTACTAAATGTGTAGTAATAAGAACTATAACTTTAAAACTAAAATTTTCGGTAAACCGTTACCAATTAAATGGAAAAATTATCAAATGAATGGTTTAAATGCCGTATAATTTAGTTTCTAATACCAGAAATATGTTTGTTTTTTTTTAACAGAAATGTCATTAACCATAAAGTACGTTAATTTTATCGGAATTTTTTCTCAGAGTATTGTATGTACATTTTTTTATTTCAATTTCGATAAAGATGAAAAAAATATATATTAAGAACTGAGATTACTCAATACCCTGTTTGTTTTGTTATTAATTAAGCTAAATGCTTAAAATATATACAAAAATGTCCTTTTAAGGAGATTTTTTTTTTGCTGGGAAAACAAATACAACGTAATAATGAATTTTTATAGAATGAAACTAAATTGATAAATTTCCGTTAAAAAATAATGCATGCCCAAATAATATTGAATAATAACTGATTGTGTACCTTACTGTAGAAGAAAAGTCTGTGTCGTTCTCGGACGAAACCACCACCGTCAGCTCACCCGTCCATCAGAAGCAACACTCCCCTCAACACGCAGGTGAAACAATCTTTCTTACTTTAGCCTATACCCCAGCTATATTTGTGTTCCTAGATAATCTTATCCTATAGCTTTTATCTTTCCTTGTCTTCATTTATTTTACTCTGCAGAAAAATATTTAACGTGAAATTTTCCGATAATTAAACCAATTTCTTTCTTGAAAAAATCATTTTCTCAAGTTTTTCTTAATTAAATTAAACATCCTTAATCACTTGTTTAAATTTTTTAATTTTATAATCTGAATGTTATAAATAAAGAATTACACTGTTAAAATTTTCTCGGAAAGAATGGTTAAATGCCAATTTATTGAATGGTTATTTTACCATATTTAAGCAAAACAGTCAAATAACCGTAAATAAAGTGTTAATCAAATTTTTAGGTTTGAGAAAAACTGTTTATTAACTGCTTTCACCTAATACGGTTAAGCAACCTGAATTTTATCGTACCAACAGGAACGACCTAATGCAACTACTTAGTTCTTCGCAAATGCGTACATATCATAGCCGAGCAGGCTTATCTGTCAATCTCATGACCGGCAAAACTGAAATTCGAGTCCTAGTGTTGACACTATAATATTTCTTCCCTTCCCTTCAACGCATGAAGAATTTCCAGTGTCCGGCACTCTCCAATGCCCATTACCTTACGGAAAGCCGAGCTCTTATGTCTAGTTAAATAAAATAAAAAAAAAATTTTATGTTCTTGAAAAATGCTAGTTGTAAATGATTAAAAAACCGTATAGTTTTGTATTCATGGTTTTTTAACCATAATTTTTGTGAATGGTTTCAAAACCATAAAGGAGAAAAATATTTTTTACCGTAAACTTTACGGTTAATCGGATGGACAGACAGCTGCCAGTTATTTTACCATAATTTTATAATCAAAAATTTAACAGTGTATATGTCTTTTTTTTTTAAAAAAAAAAAAAGCATACGTAAATTATCATATGTTCCAATTTATTCATTTCTTATTATTTTATTCAACTATTGGACAAACCGATCTTTCTTGAAAAATTATAACTCCATTTTTCCATAAAAATTACAATTCCTTTTTTTCGGAAGAATAATAACTTCACTTCTTCTTAATTAAAAGTCCTTAACAACTTGTTTAAACTTTTTAATTTTATAATTTGATTATTATAAATAAAAAATTACATTTCTTTTTTTTTTTTTAAAAAAGGGTAAGTAAATTATTATATGTTTTATTTTAATCATATGTTTTATTATTTCTTTGTTATTATTTTTGTTAAAAACCGATCTTTCTTGAAATATTATAACTCCATTTCTACATAAAAATTATAACTTTATTTTTTTCTTAGTTTAAAGTCTATTAAAACTTGTTTAAACTTTTTAATTACTTGATCTGAATGTTGTAAATAAAAAATTACTTTTTTAAAAACGAAAACCGTAAGTATCATTTATTTTACTTATTCATTTAATATTATTTAATTTAACCGTTAAATAAACCAATTTTTTCTTAAAAGATAATAACTCCATTCTTTTCTCATAATCTGCTACTATTAAAAAAAATTTAAACTATTTAATTTTATAATCTGAATGTAACACTGAGGAAACGATATCGTCGAAACTGCCTGAATAAGGTAAAATTTATCATTTTCCTGACTCTATGAGAACACCATACTGCTCTATAATTTTTACCGTAAGGTTTCGGTAATGATTTTTAGAAAAATTAACGATTAAATAGGGTTTTATAATATTTCATAAAATTTAATAAAGTGAATAAAATTTGGTAATTTTATTATGATACCTTAGCACATGACAAAAAAACTATTTATTTGTTTAAATTTACTTTTCATTTTTGCTCTTTTTTTTTAACTAAATCTGAGGTAATAAGGACTATGATTTTGAAAACTGGAATTTCTGGAAAAGGAATTAGCCTTTGCCATGTGAAAGAAAACATTACCAAATAAATGGTTTAAATACTGTATATTTTTTTCCTATTACGAGAATTATGGTGTTTTTTACCAGAAATTTGATTATCATACAGTACGGTAATTAAACCAGAATTTATGTATAAAGAATTATGAGCCTTCTTTTTTCTCGTTTTAATATAAAGGAAGAACGAATGAATTCACATATATTTCTCATTTATTTATTAGCATTTGTTTCAAAATTCATAAAAAAATTCAAATTTTCATTTTAATCATTTTAAAGAAGTTCATCATAAAATAATATTTTTTTCATTTCAAAATAAAGAAATGAAATATCACAATTAACTTTTTAATAAACCAAACAAAATTTTTAAAATAATCGGAAAGGGATTGAAATCTTCGTTTCTTAGAATTAACTTAATATACACTATTTTGTCAAGCCCTACTGAATGTAAATAAAAGCATGAATAAATTTAATTAAATAAAATATTTCATTAGTACATTTAATGGAAGAAAATTTTTAACAAATGCTTTGCATTTTTCTTCTAAAAAAACTAAAACTATTTATTTTAAAGCTGTAAGATTTGGTTCTTTTTTTTAATTATGCATAGCTTTTATATGAACGTAAAAAACTAAAAAGGACTGTTTCGTAATTTAATTGAAAGACAGAAATTTTATTATTTACTATCCATTCCCTAGCTGTTTTATAGATAAAAGGCAAAGTAAGAAAGAATGATGTCAAGATAATCTCAAAAATTAGTAACATTTAGACGATATATGTATTTAAGTATTTTTTCATTTAATATTATGCTTTTTTTGATCAAATTTCTAGTCTATTTAAAATGCAATTTTAGATGCAAAACGGTTAACACTTACATATTTCATTCAAAATTATTAAAAAAATTTCTTATGTTATGCAATGTGATACTAAATTTTGGATTTCTCTTTAAGTGTCACTATTTTGATAAATGTATAGTTGAATGGTATGTTTTTAGCTTATCAAAAAAATATTGACTTTATTTCAAAATGCATTGAATATGTGCCATACCTGAATTTTTAAACACAATTTAAACTCCCTTGATGTAGCTTTCTTTTAATATGTTTATCCTCTTTAAATTAATAATATATAAGTAAGTGTTTAAATGTTTAACAGAAAAATTATTAAGTTAAATGTAATAACCAATATTGTTGTAGTTTAATTTTTATATAATGTAACTAAAACAATACATTTTCAGAATTAGTCTAAGTTTTCATACACCCTTCATAAATGAAAAATGAAATAATTTAAAAATATTTTTCGCCACCCTTTTTTAAGATAGTTCATTATTTAATTATTATTGAAACAATTTTTGCAATGAGCCACAAGCATAACTTTTATTTTTAGTTCTGACTATTTATTATTTTTTTAAAAAATGAAGTATTATTTCAAAAAACCAAGTTTTTTTTTCATAAAGAATCTTAGAATTAATTCTGGAAAGTCTAAAATGTTGTTAAGAAAAATGAAGATTGTTTAACAAAAACTTTCAAGAAATGCTAAACTAATTGTTGACTAAAATAAAATTAATTTCATTTTTCATAAATATATTTTTTACTATAAAGTCATCAATTATATGATGTTAAAAATACAAAAAGAATCCATTTAAAAAAAGCAAGCGTAATAAAAAGTAACACAATTAAAAAACATTTATGCGTAACAAGTTAGTGTAGTGATTGCACATATTTGTATCTTATGTTCTTGTTTAATACAATTTTGAATGTCATTTGGTTCTATTGCACTGTTATCTACTATGTTATGAATTTACAGAAATTGTACAGAACTTTTTACTATTTCATTTTTCTATTTTTTTAATCATGAGTATATGTATTATTAAATGTTTCTTTTATTGGTATTTATTTATGCTTTTATACTTCAGTTATGTGCAACTTCAACTTCAGAGTAAATGTTAATCAAACAAGTGCTCTTAATATGAAATATTTTAATATAAACTAGAAATAAACTAGTGGTAAGATATAAATAAATAAACTAAATCAAGTTTAAATAAAGCATATTAGTGAAGTTTTTTTTAAATTCAATCTTAAAAGAAGTCTAGAAAACAACAACAATCATCGCAATTTATTTTAAGATGTATGAAACATTCTTAAAAGACTAATTTCGTTTAAATTATAAGAAAGAGTGATTAAGTTTGCTGGAAAATATATCTAAATATTTTCAATGCTGTATTTATGAAAATATTCGTGTTATTGTAATACAATAAAAGTAAAATTTCAAGTCTATTGTTGTGGTATTTAACTTATATGATAATTTTAAAGCATCCAATATTTAAATATTTGTTTAATAATATTTATAATTATAATTTTAATGTGTTCAAAACCTATTTACATGAAATTTTTATTGATTTAAGGGAATTTGATTACAAAAAATAGTAGTTAAGTTTGCTATATGACATTTGATTGAAACTTCAAGTAAAAGTAAAATTAATGGGATACTTTTCGAAATTTTAAAAAATAGTATTGAATTTTTACATTCCATTTAAAATAAAATTTAATGAAAAAATTATTAAGCTTAATATAATAAAAGCTGTAATGCACAAACGAGTCTAAAAAAATTCTAAATTTTCAACTAATACCAAATTATTTTACTATTCGAGCAATATACGATTTATTAATATACTATTCGATTTTTGACCTATACCTAATTAATATAATTCGGCTTATACGAATTTTGTAAGAATGTACCAAATGTCATTAAAAATTCAATCTTTATTGTATCTATACACTGATGGGAAAAAAAATCTATTAACCAAGAAAGAGTTGTGCTAGATAAACTAAATTTGGTAGACTTGTTTATACAACTAAAAGATGATGTCTATTTAAATTTCGCGCTTCGTGCATAAGTTCGGGGAGAGTAGCACTACCGTGAACGTGCGAATCAGGGTTGCTTTAAATATGTGTTCTACAGTCCGTAAGAGTTATTTTTTTTTAAATTCGACATGGTGAGTTGCTGTTAGTCAAAAATGCTTTAAAGAAGACGAAAAAGTCATTATCAATATCTCACTGACTTTGAAAGCTGTCGTGTAAGAGGTGGATTTGGAAGCAGTGGTCAAGGTAAGGTATTGAAGACCGGGTTATGCCGACCACGCGACTCTACTCAAAGGGTAGACCACCATACACTTTTCGCTGCAGACACAGCCATACACCCGTGTACGGTGTATGGCCTACTGCATCAGCATCAGAAATTCGAGCTGCAATTGTCACTGCAGTGACACAAAGAACTATAACAAATCGGCTACTTCAAGTACAGCTCCGAGAGGGACACCCTGTAGCTTGAATTCCACTCACCCCAAACTACTGCTGCTAACGACGTGAGTGGTGCCGAGTTAGAGCTCACTGGAGGACAGAGACGAGATCACTTGTGCTTTCTGATGAAAGTCGAATCTGCATTGGTGCCAGTAATAGCCGTATATTGGTTAGCCGTATCTTGGTAATAGTCGTATATTAGCCAGTATAGCCGTATACTGGTGGGGACTTACTGCCAACTTGTCTCTGGCCTAGGCACACCAGCAACAGTGACAGCAGGTTATTCCACGCACCTTGACTGCAAATTCGCACTTCAACCTGGTGATTCAACCTGTTTTGTTGCCATTCATGAGCAGAATTCAAGGGGATATTTTCCAACAGGGTAACACTCGCCCTCATACTGATGTTGTAACGCAACATGCTCTACATAATGTCGACATCTTTAGTTGGCCTGCTTTTTCACCAATCGAGCACGTATTTGACGTCATTAGACGACAACTTAGCGTCATCCATAGCCAGCATTAACTATTCCCGTATTGATTGACTAAGTGCAACAGGCATACATCCCGCAAAATGACGCACGGCATCTGTATGACACATCATGTTATGTTTGCATGCTTGCATTCAAACTTTTGGTGGTAGCAACAGTTATTATTTTACCTGTATTTCGCATTTAAAAGGGTTTTTCCCTTAATTGCATTTACCTGCGATCTTAAAATTTTAATCGATTAAATACGTTACTCAGACAAACTCATTGCCGAAATTTCATCACTCTAAATAATCTTTTCTTGCCGTTGGGATTTTTCTCCAGTATATATAACATTGTGTACTTATTGTAAACATAATAGTTAATAGTAAATATGATTAAATATATTTACAATAAAAAAAAAACACGAATTCTTTTGGTGAAAAAATCGAATAAAATCACATAATCGTTGGTTTAGAATCACCACCTGAAATGTTTGATTTTCCTTAATTAACAATTTTTAATTAGTATAAAGATTTTTTTTTTATCTTTGGTATTCGCCAGTGATAATAAAATGTTTTATATTCTATAATGTTTGAAAAATTAAGTTCTTATTTTCAGCTGAAAGACCTGTGAAACCAGCCATCAAGTCCTCCCTCTCTCTTCGTAGTCAGCATTCCTCAGGTACATCCTCACAATCAATTTTAAACAAACTAAACAAAACACTGTACACCGTAGAACGTACAATGTAAAAAATTTTACAGTAATATTCATTTTTAAGTGAACATTAATGTAAAAATCATTTTATATCAGAGATTTTCTTCCGTAAAATTTTACCGTAATTTAATCCCTATTTTCTTATACTGTAAATGAAAATACTGTAGATGAAACAACGAATTTTTCTTATATTTTTACTAGGTTTTTATTATATATAACATTTTTATTAAAAAAAATCTTTTCGAGCCATTTGTAATAAAATTAATTTTTGGTTAATCTTAATTTATCGTAAAGTTTCTGCAAAGTTTCATTTTTAACTGAAACTTTGTTTATGAACCGAGGGGATACTGAGCTGTCATTGTGAACTGAATTTCCATTCCAAGTAGATCCTTGAAGCAAACTCAGCTCTAGATCGATGGGAACCAGCTTGTGACAGTTGTGTGTGTGTAAACGTTGGCTAATGCTCAATGATAATCACGTTACTTGCCATTGATGATTGTATTATCCTTTTGCATACGGCTGGTACAACATGTGGACCACATGTTATGGTACAAATGGTGCACCGTAAGCAAAGGTTTAAAGTGTGGAGCCTTAACTTCAACAGGCTGTTGCAGGAATGATTTACTTTAGCTTGCTTTTAAACATAAATTTAATAATTGTGTTGCAGTTTCAGTTAATGTTATTTTAAAAAAAAGCTCCATGGGGAGAAATCTGTGATTGCAATTATTATATCTTACATATCTTGAATATTTAACAAAATAGCAAATTAAAACGTTATGATAACTCACAAAACGTAGGTATAATGTAGTCGAAGCAATTTTAAAAACATTTTACTAATTTTCACGCTCATAACTAATCTATTATCAAATGAATTAAATGAACACTTAATAATGATTCCAAAGTCAGCTCTGCATTTTCTTGAATTTTGCCAAATAAAAGTTTTAATTTTTATTTCATTTCGAAATTTATATTTTTTGAATAAATTTTGGATAGAAATATTAAATTGCAAATTGCAGCAAATTAATATTTTAATCTTGATATATTTTTAATAATTTCAGATATAAAAGTAATTTATAGAAACTTCTTCTCGTAAATATTCATTAAAAATATATATCTATTTTTCCAGATGTTGATTCTGTTCCTACTCAGTTACACCCTCCCGTAGTTAAAGTAACCTCAGCAGGTACGATTTTGAATTTATCATTTCATTTATTTTAATATTTACCAACCGTTGCCCATGGCTTTACCCGCGAGGAAGTATTTTGTTATCACGATATTATCACGATATTTTCTAACATCTTATTGTATTGAAATTTAATAATAATTTAAAACTTGTCCGTCTGCCATTAAATCACACAAACCGCCGGAAGTATGAGTTTGTATAGTATAATATATATATATATATA